AGAACTGAACTAGAACTGAACTAGAACTGAACTAGAACTGAACTAGAACTGAACTAGAACTAGAACTGAACTAGAACTAGAACTAGAACTGAACTAGAACTGAACTAGAACTGAACTAGAACTGAACTAGAACTGAACTAGAACTGAACTATAACTGAACTATAACTGAACTATAACTGAACTATAACTGAACTAGAACTGAACTAGAACTGAACTAGAACTGAACTAGAACTGAACTAGAACTGAACTAGAACTGAACTAGAACTGAACTAGAACTGAACTAGAACTGAACTAGAACTGAACTAGAACTGAACTAGAACTGAACTAGAACTGAACTAGAACTGAACTAGAACTGAACTAGAACTGAACTAGAACTGAACTAGAACTGAACTAGAACAGAACTAGACCCGAACTAGAACTGAACTAGAAGTGGAACTGAATTAGAACTGAGCTAAAACTGAACTAGAAATGAACTTGAACTGAACTAGAAATGAACTAGAACTTAACTAAAAATAAAACTAAACTAAATTTAGGAACAATAATAGACCATATTTTGTCACACGAAAAGTAAACCCCCTAATAAATGCATACTTTAAAATTTAGTTGAAGTATGAAGGCCTATTATAAAAATACAGTTAAATACGAAAAATAAAAGAGAACAACAAAAATTTTGAAGTTTTTAAAACATGTTTGACAAATAAAATAAAAGTATATTAAAAGTATCATTCCTATATAGACGTTTAATTTTTATTATAAAAATTGTCACATTTCAGGTTTTTTTTGTATTAATATATAGTAGAGACAATGCACGAATTATTAATTTAAAACAATTAAATATAAATGCTTATTTTTTATGTGATTCACGCAAAAATATTTCAAAAAGAAATATATACAGTTATATACCTTAAATCCTATAATAAACACAATATTATAAGGTAAATAAACATAAATGTATACAGTAATATTATAATAAGACAAAAGTACAGAGATAAACAACCTTACCCGCTAAAAATATTAGTTACTTAAATTCCACTCTTTAAAGCATTAATAATGCAAAAAATTTACATTTCAAAATGCATATTTGACATCACTGTCAGAAGTCAAGAAATGATCAGCAGTGATGCCATACATATTTTATTTGAAATTTACTTGTATACGAAGTCTACTTATTATTTATACTATATTTAATTATATCACCTTTTTATACAAAAATAATCACTGCACATTTACTAAACTGCTTTAGTTAGCTCTACTCAGTTTTCATTATCGAGCTCAATAAACTGGAAATTTATATACGGTTTAGTAAAACAATTTATTTATTAAACAAATAACTATAAACGTTATTAATAAAATATTGTAGGCATAATTTTAATTTAAACCTCCAAGTGCTATTTATATTTACAAATCATTAAATAAATTGCCACACTTAAAAACAATTGTAAATGATACACTTTTAAAACAATTTAAATCATTTTTAATAAAATGTTCATAATTTTTGATTGGATGATTTCATTAAAAGGTTAAATGATATGGAAAGTATTGAGTTAGATCAGTGATGCTTACGTAATTGGAAATGTTTAAGTTTATAATTTCAGAATGCTTATACTTGCATTTGTTAAATACTTTAAAATGTTTTTTAACACTTTTTTTATTTATTCCGATTCTTTTCAAATCAGTTCTAGTTCAGTTCTAGTTCAGTTCTATTTCAGTTCTAGTTCAGTTCTATGTCAGTTCGTTAGTTCAGTTCTATTCAGTTCTATTTCAGTTCTAGTTCAGTTCCTAGTTCAGTTCTAGTTCAGTTCTAGTTCAGTTTTAGTTCAGTTCTAGTTCAGTTCTAGTCATTAGTTCAGTTCTAGTAGTCAGTTCTAGTTCAGTTCTAGTTCAGTTCTAGTTCAGGTTCTAGTTCAGTTCTAGTTCAGTTTCTAGTTCCGTTCTAGTTCAGTACTAGTTCAGTTCTAGTCAGTTCTAGTTCAGTTCTAGTTCAGTTTCAGTTCTAGTTCAGTTCTAGTTCAGTTCTAGTTCAGTTCTAGTTCAGTTCTAGTTTCAGTTCTAGTTCAGTTCTAGTCATTCTAGTTCAGTTCAGTTCAGTCTAGTTCAGTTCCTAGTTCAGTTCTAGTTCAGTTCCGAGCTTCAGTTCTAGTTCAGTTCTAGGTTCAGTTCTATTCATTTCAGTTCTAGTTCAGTTCTAGTTCTAGTTCTAGTTCAAGTTCTAGTTCAATTCTAGTTCAGATGTTCTTAGTTCAGTTCTAGTTCAGTTCAGTTCTAGTTCAGTTCTAGTTCAGTTCTAGTTCATTTCTAGTTCAGTTCTAGTTCAGTTTTAGTTCAGTTCTAGTTCAGTTCTAGTTCAGTTCTAGTTCAGTTCTAGTTCAGTTCTAGTTCAGTTCTAGTTCAGTTCTAGTTCAGTTCTAGTTCAGTTCTAGTTCAGTTCTAGTTCAGTTAGTTCTAGTTAGTTCTAGTTCAGTTCTAGTTCAGTTCTAGTTCAGTTCTAGTTTAATTCTAGTTCAGTTGTATTTTAGTTGTAGTTCTGTTCTAGTTCAGTTCTAGTTTAGTTCTAGTTCAGTTCTAGTTCAGTTCTAGTTCAGTTCTAGTTCAGTTCTAGTTCAGTTCTAGTTCAGTTCTAGTTCAGTTCTAGTTTAGTTCTAGTTTAGTTCTAGTTCAGTTCTAGTTCAGTTCTAGTTCAGTTCTAGTTCAGTTCTAGTTCAGTTCTAGTTCAGTTCTAGTTCAGTTTTCTAGTTCAGTTCTAGTTCAGTTCTAGTTCAGTTCTAGTTCAGTTCTAGTTCAGTTCTAGTTCAGTTCTAGTTCATTCTAGTTCTTTCAGTTCTAGTTCTGTTCTAGTTCAGTTCTAGTTCAGTTCTAGTTCAGTTCTAGTTCAGTTCTAGTTCAGTTCTAGTTCAGTTCTAGTTCAGTTCTAGTTCAGTTCTAGTTCAGTTCTAGTTCAGTTCTAGTTCAGTTCTAGTTCAGTTTAGTTCAGTTCTAGTTTCAGTTCTAGTTCAGTTCTAGTTCAGTTCTAGTTCAGTTCTAGTTCAGTTCTAGTTCAGTTTCTAGTTCAGTTCTAGTTCAGTTCTAGTTCAGTTCTAGTTCAGTTCTAGTTCAGTTCTAGTTCAGTTCTAGTTCAGTTCTAGTTCAGTTCTAGTTCAGTTCTAGTTCAGTTCTAGTTCAGTTCTAGTTCAGTTCTAGTTCAGTTCTAGTTCAGTTCTAGTTCAGTTCTAGTTCAGTTCTAGTTCAGTTCTAGTTCAGTTCTAGTTCAGTTCTAGTTCAGTTCTAGTTCAGTTCTAGTTCAGTTCTACTTCAGTTCTAGTTCAGTTCTAGTTCAGTTCTAGTTCAGTTCTAGTTCAGTTCTTGTTCTGTTCTAGTTCAGTTCTAGTTCAGTTCTAGTTCATTTCTAGTTCAGTTCTAGTTCAGTTCTAGTTCAGTTCTAGTTCAGTTCTAGTTCAGTTCTAGTTCAGTTCTAGTTCAGTTCTAGTTCAGTTCTAGTTCAGTTCTAGTTCAGTTCTAGTTCAGTTCTAGTTCAGTTCTAGTTCAGTTCTAGTTCAGTTCTAGTTCAGTTCTAGTTCAGTTCTAGTTCAGTTCTAGTTCAGTTCTAGTTCAGTTCTAGTTCAGTTCTAGTTCAGTTCTAGTTCAGTTCTAGTTCAGTTCTAGTTCAGTTCTAGTTCAGTTCTAGTTCAGTTCTAGTTCAGTTCTAGTTCAGTTCTAGTTCAGTTCTAGTTCAGTTCTAGTTCAGTTCTAGTTCAGTTCTCGTTCAGTTCTAGTTCAGTTCTAGTTCAGTTCTAGTTCAGTTCTAGTTCAGTTCTAGTTCTAGTTCAGTTCTAGTTCAGTTCTAGTTCAGTTCTAGTTCAGTTCTAGTTCAGTTCTAGTTCAGTTCTAGTTCAGTCTAGTTCAGTTCTAGTTCAGTTTTCTTATAAAAAAAGTGAGACAGAAAATTTTATTTTAAAACAGATATCTTATAGAAAAGGTAATGTCGTATAAACAAGAAGCAATACTTTTTGATGGAAAAAAAAGTTGTACAAAGAAATTCTTTGTAGGTCATATTTAAATTCGTTCTTTTTATTACTTTTTTCGAAATATAAAATAATATAAAAAATTTACAATATCCAATTATTTGTTTATGTATATGGTACATTTTATTTAAATAAATATAACTAACATTAGGGTGGTACATGATTTAAATAAAAATGATGAAGAATATTTTCGGAAGCAACTTTTATAAAATCACATCCTTCAGAAATCTTATACTACAGTAGTCTGATGACTTGAGTAAATAGTTTGGTCCATTTTTAATGGCTCAAAATGAGAGTAAATTGTTCAAATTTGGTTCATAAATACTTTTTTCTGTTTCAAAATGACAGCCTTTCGTATTGAAAATAATGCGAAAAGTAATGTCTACTGTGGCTAATGTGGACCACCTTATTACATGATGTCTCCCCTATGTGGTAAATAAAAAAAATAAATTTTTTGTGGGCTACCAGACAATAACATCAACAGCGTCAAAAGCAGCACAATTTCGGTCAAGCAAAAATACCAAACAGTCCAGACATTTCAAAAATTGTTGTTGTCAAACGTAAATATATAAATATGTATGTATATATACATATATGTATGTACACAAATGTGTTAGATGGCAGAATTTTGAAATACTAAAATATTTTTTTTTTTCAAATAAAATAATCTAAAAAGCCAAACAACGACAAAAAAATATAAACAAATACCACATTTATTTTATAACTTTTTAGAAGATTTTTTTATGTTTATATATTTTTGTTGTTAAATATCATTGAATTTTATTTGTTTTGGTTGAATTTTTTGTGTAAAAATATAACATAAATTAAAATCTTTATATTTATTAGTTTATATATAAAAATATTTAGTGTCTAAACCAGCAAACACAAATTAAATAATTTGCAAATTGAAAGATCTTTAGAACTTTAAGAAAGTTTGAATTAAAACATTCAAATCATTTATTTTTGCTGGGTAAAAATATTCAAATTATTTAAAAAACTTACCCCAAATATTGCATTTTGTATGCCAAATGGTATGGGCGTTAAACGAGTAAATAATACAACACGAAATGCTCTCGGTCCAGATATAACACGCAATATTGCGCGTCCAGTCTCATTTTAATTAATCTGTAAAATTGGAAAAAAAAAAAACATACAAAAATTAAGTAAATAAATAAATGATACGATAAATACAAAAACAGAACAAATTAATTGCACAAAATGTTTATTAAAATTTATTTAATTGTTTATAAGTGGTTTGACGGCATATGATTGGAGAGAAAAAATGGGTTTCATAAGACGTTATGGAACATACATATGTATATAGGGGATTTTTTAAAACTACATTTTAATGAACAAATATCATTCAAAATGATTAATTTAAAGCAAATTAAAAAACTATAGCAATGTACACTAGAACAAAACTAGAACTAACCTAGAACTGAACTAGAACTGTACTAGAACTGAACTACAACTGAACTAGTACTGGACTAGAACTAGAACTGAGTTAGAACTGAACTAGAACTAAACTAGAATAAAACTAGAACTAAACTAGAATTAAACTAGAACTGAACTAGAACTGAACTAGAACTGAACTAGAACTGAACTAAACTGAACTAGAACTGAACTAGAACTGAACTAGAACTGAACTAGAACTGAACTAGAACTGAACTAGAACTGAACTAGAACTGAACTAGAACTGAACTAGAACTGAACTAGAACTGAACTAGAACTGAACTAGAACTGAACTAGAACTGAACTAGAACTGAACTAGAACTGAACTAGAACTGAACTAGAACTGAACTAGAACTGAACTAGAACTGAACTGAACTGAAACTGAACTGAACTAGAACTGAACTGAACTAGAACTGAACTAGAACTGAACTAGAACTGAACTAGAACTGAACTAGAACTGAACTGAACTAGAACTGAACTAGAACTGAACTAGAACTGAACTAGAACTGAACTAGAACTGAACTAGAACTGAACTAGAACTGAACTAGAACTGAACTAGAACTGAAATGGAACTGAACTGAACTGAACTGAACTAGAACTGAACTGAACTAGAACTGAACTAGAACTGAACTAGAACTGAACTGAACTGAACTAGAACTAGAACTAGAACGAACTAGAACTGAACTAGAACTGAACTAGAACTGAACTAGAACTGAACTAGAACTGAACTAGAACTGAACTAGAACTGAACTAGAACTGAACTAGAACTGAACTAGAACTGAACTAGAACTGAACTAAACTGAACTAGAACTGAACTAGAACTGAACTAGAACTGAACTAGAACTAGAACTGAACTAGAACTGAAATAGAACTGAACTAGAACTGAACTAGAACTGAACTAGAACTGAACTAGAACTGAACTAGAACTGAACTAGAACTGAACTAGTACTGGACTAGAACTAGAACTGAACTAGTACTGAATTAGAACTGAACTAGAACTGAACTAGAACTGAACTAGAACTGAACTAGAACTGAACTAGAACTGAACTAGAACTGAACTAGAACTGAACTAGAACTGAACTAGAACTGAACTAGAACTGAACTAGAACTGAACTAGAACTGAACTAGAACTGAACTAGAACTGAACTAGAACTGAACTAGAACTGAACTAGAACTGAACTAGAACTGAACTAGAACTGAACTAGAACTGAACTAGAACTGAACTAGAACTGAACTAGAACTGAACTAGAACTGAACTAGAACTGAACTAGAACTGAACTAGAACTGAACTAGAACTGAACTAGAACTGAACTAGAACTGAACTAGAACTGAACTAGAACTGAACTAGAACTGAACTAGAACTGAACTAGAACTGAACTAGAACTGAACTAGAACTGAACTAAACTGAACTAGAACTGAACTAGAACTGAACTAGAACTGAACTAGAACTGAACTAGAACTGAACCAGAAATGTATTAGAACTGAACTAGAACTGAACTAGAACTGAACTAGAACTGAACTAGAACTGAACTAGAACTGAACTAGAACTGAACTAGAACTGAACTAGAACTGAACTAGAACTGAACTAGAACTGAACTAGAACTGAACTAGAACTGAACTAGAACTGAACTAGAACTGAACTAGAACTGAACTGAACTAGAACTGAACTAGAACTGAACTAGAACTGAACTAGAACTGAACTAGAACTGAACTAGAACTGAACTAGAACTGAACTAGAACTGAACTAGAACTGAACTAGAACTGAAATGGAACTGAACTAGAACTGAACTGAACTAGAACTGAACTGAACTAGAACTGAACTAGAACTGAACTAGAACTGAACTAGAACTGAACTAAACTGAACTAGAACTGAACTAGAACTAGAACTGAACTAGAACTGAACTAGAACTGAACTAGAACTGAACTAGAACTGAACTAGAACTGAACTAGAACTGAACTAGAACTGAACTAGAACTGAACTAGAACTGAACTAGAACTGAAATAGAACTGAACTAGAACTGAACTAGAACTGAACTAGAACTGAACTAGAACTGAACTAGAACTGAACTAGAACTGAACTAGTACTGGACTAGAACTAGAACTGAACTAGTACTGAATTAGAACTGAACTAGAACTGAACTAGAACTGAACTAGAACTGAACTAGAACTGAACTAGAACTGAACTAGAACTGAACTAGAACTGAACTAGAACTGAACTAGAACTGAACTGGAACTGAACTAGAACTGAACTAGAACTGAACTAGAACTGAACTAGAACTGAACTAGAACTGAACTAGAACTGAACTAGAACTGAACTAGAACTGAACTAGAACTGAACTAGAACTGAACTAGAACTGAACTAGAACTGAACTAGAACTGAACTAGAACTGAACTAGAACTGAACTAGAACTGAACTAGACTGACTAGAACTGAACTAGAACTGAACTAGAACTGAACTAGAATGAACTAGAACTGAACTAGAACTGAACTAGAACTGAACTAGAACTGAACTAGAAATGAACTAGAACTGAACTAGAACTGAACCAGAAATGTATTAGAACTGAACTAGAACTGAACTAGAACTGAACTAGAACTGAACTAGAACTGAACTAGAACTGAACTAGAACTGAACTAGAACTGAACTAGAACTGAACTAGAACTGAACTAGAACTGAACTAGAACTGAACTAGAAATGAACTAGAAACTGAACTAGAAATGAACTAGAACTGAACTAGAACAAAAATTCTTTAAGAAATTAGGGCTTTTTTGTAACACCCTTTTTAATAATTTGAATATTACGAGCAAACTATAACAATTGTTTTCAATCAGTAAAAAAAAATCTCATAATTAATGAAAAACATTCAATTGTATGGAAATTCGTTAAGTGTCGCTGAATATCAGACGTCAATTTCTTTATGTTTTTTTGTTTTTGTAGGAATAAATAAATAAAGAAGAAATTTAATTGCTTCAGTAGAACAAATAAACTATATTAAGATGAGTAAAAACAAAAAAAAAAAGCAAATTTAAATTACGTATTTATATTAAACAGTGCAGAGAAAAGGTTTTAAAAGAAAGAATATTGAAAAGATTTTGAAAATATTTAAAAAAAACTTCGCATTAATTCACAATATTTGAAAACGCATATTTGGTATCACTGAAAGCATTTGCTAGTGATGCCAATTATTATATTTAGCAGTGATGCCAAGTATGTGAAGATTTATATAAAATCTTTTTCTGTTAAAAAAGTCTCAAATCCCTTTTTTAATAAAAAATGTAATACCTTTCATCACAAATATTTCAATTTCTTTTTAATTGCTTTTAGCTCTTTGCCACCTTACCGAAAACATTTATACAAACTTGTAATTATTTATACACAAAATTATTATTTCAAATCACATTTCTTCATAGTAATTAACAATTTAGCATTGAACTTGGCACAAATGTCAAACTATATTGTCGGGTAAAAGAAATTATAAACAAAACACACAAAACGTTCAGTAACATTAAAATTTGCCTTATCATCAACAAGTACTGGTATACAAAATAAATCGTAAAATAAAACAATAAATATGTATGCTATAAAATTTGCTACTTATAATGGCAGAGTTAATAATTTAACACAATCAACAACGAATTTGTAGTTTACTAAATATAGCTAACGGTATTGAATTTCATGTTCAGTTAGTGATCATATTTTAAATAGAAAAGTTCTTCAGTTTGGGATCATCATTTCCACACTAAAGTTGTTCAGTTTATGATAAAATTATCATCATTTTGAAGGAAAAGTTGCTCATCGATAACTTTTGTTTAGACAAGTTGCTCATCGATAACTTTTATTTAGACAGTTGCTCTACGACAACTTTTCTTCAGAAAACGTTTCTTTAGAAAAGTTTCTCTACGACAACTTTTCTTTAGAAAAGTTGCTCAACGACAACTTTCTTTAGAAAAGTTGCTCTACGACAACTTTTCTTTAGAAAAGTTGCTCTACGACAACTTTTCTTTAGAAAAGTTGCTCTACGACAACTTTTCTTTAGAAAAGTTGCTCTACGACAACTTTTCTTTAGAAAAGTTGCTCTACGACAACTTTTCTTTAGAAAAGTTGCTCTACGACAACTTTTCTTTAGAAAAGTTGCTCTACGACAACTTTTCTTTAGAAAAGTTTCTCTACGACAACTTTTCTTTAGAAAAGTTGCTCTACGACAACTTTTCTTTAGAAAAGTTGCTCTACGACAACTTTTCTTTAGAAAAGTTGCTCTACGACAACTTTTCTTTAGAAAAGTTGCTCTACGACAACTTTTCTTTAGAAAAGTTGCTCTACGACAACTTTTCTTTAGAGAAGTTGCTATACGATAACATTTCTTTAGAAAAATTGCTCTACGACAACTTTTCTATAGAAAAGTTGCTCTACAACAAATGTTCTTTAGAAAAGTTGTTCTACGACAATTTTTCTTAAGAAAAGTTGCTCCACGACAACTTCTCTTTAGAAAAGTTTCTCTACAACAACTTTTCTTGAGAAAAGTTGCTCTGCGACAACTTTTCTTTAGAAAAGTTTCTCTACTACAACTTTTCTTTAGAAAAGCTCTATGATAACTCTTCTTTAGAAAAGTTACTCTACGACAACTTTTCTTTGCTCTGCGACAACTTTTCTTTAGAAAAGTTTCTCTACAACAACT